GATTGCACACCGCCCCTGGTCGAGCAGGCGCGTTACAATCATCTGTGTTGAACTCACTATTACTCCTGTTTTGTCCCAGTGGATGCAATCACGTATAACTCCTAACGTTAACTGTAAGTACCAGTTGCAAATTGGGAAGAGGTCAAAACCGTCTCACAAATTTGCTAGAGGTCGCCAGACCTGAGAGGTCGCTAGCATTTATGCTGAATATTGTAATGCAACAATTTTACTTTGTTTTGCAGTGTTGTTTGTCGACTGAAGCTCGTTGGATGCAAGATTGTCGCTCCTCCAAGTGCTTGTCATCATGATTAAAAATGAGGGAATATCCGGATGAGAAATACTACAAAAAGGGTGTTTGCAGAGGTTTTGGCAGTCCCCCAATACTGTACGTACTCTGAGTAAGTTCAAAAGCTATGTATAATAATAGTACTACCGATAGTATTAATACACAAGTACTGGTATTAATACATGCTAATACCATTAATACTATCGAATGATCAACGTCACATACATAGAATCCTCCGAATAGACCTTGCAGTTGTTAGCCTGAACACTAACAACTGCAAGGTCTAACGTTATGGTGCTCTGGAGTTATGTCAAAGTAAACAATCATGCACTTACTATCAGTACTTACCTGTAGCCAGATTGACATTACGCAAGTATACATACTGTACTACTATTAATAGTAGTACTGTACATTGATGGTACAGTATACGGAGTAGTACTATAACTGGGGTACAATTCCCTCATTAAAAAAGTTCCACTGTTGTTTTGATCCGAAATACTGTTTCAATGAGATTTATATGGAACTTTGTATGCTCACACCATATCACCTCTTACTAGGGGTTAAGTGCAGTTAACTAACCCCGGATATTTAGCATCGTATGTACACACCGGGGGTATGACAGTCCCAGGTTACAGTGTTACTGGCGAAATGGTGTATCCGGATGTAATAATTCCCTCATTGAAACAGGTAATGAGGGAATTATTCGTAAAACAAGGATGATGGAATCGCAATATGATCAGAAATTGGGGACGGCCAAATCAGTGGAATCAGCAGCCGGGAAACTATGGCAAAACGTTCATAAATCTGGATACCGTTCAGCCAAGACTGAAAACCGTTCAAGCAAATTTTCTTCCTGTAACCCTGTAACCCCGGGACTTCGTCCTACCCCCGCGTGAACATACGACTAACCCTGAAAAACGTTCAACAAATCTGAATACCGTTCAGCCAAGACTGAAAACCGTTCAAACTAATACCAAGTAAACTCTAGTTAGATAAGGCATATGTTTTGTACTCTGACCACCTCAACTCATACTAGGGGTTACACTGTAAGGGTATCTCCATGGTTAGCGATAACGTTAGCTAACACCTGGTGATGCACTTATAGTTAACCCTGAGGATTTAGCATTATACAGTACTGTACTTTGAAGTAACAGTGTTATGTGCACGCGGGGGTAAGTCTCCAGTCGTCGGGTCTAGATGGTGGACGTGGGGCCTACAAAGTCATTGCCGACGATTTCTACAGTATGGACAGAGCTGGAATATTGAATTCTAGAATCGCATCCACGCCATGTATAATCCGTACGCATGTTCTGGCTTGTTGCCGCCCATACTGTAACTCATTGCCTCAATCGATAGTGTTATCAAGCTGTTAGCCATGCTGTAATTTGCGCGGAAAGTGTTCAATTCTAGACTAAGAAGCGTACACAACCGGTCTACTAACGTTATCGGTGAGACGGGTGGACATCAAGGCTCTGAAATTCAAATCGCTAATACTAGTAACGTTATGTACTATTTGATCATTCGTCAGGGGATATATTTCAAAGCAGGCAAGGTGGGATTGAGGGAAAATAAACCAATTAAATTCAAACAAAACTCATTATTTTCCCGTTTTTAGCCTATGAAAAGCTACCCACTTCACATGCATTTTTCATCAGCACCAGTACCACGAATTTCGACACGATTTCAAGTCCTGTGAACTGCATAAACTCTCCGCTTTAAGAATCACTCTTCCAATGACCAAAGGATCCCTCCATCGACGGCACAATGTCAAAGGGTACATACAGTTCATACAGGTCATGCTGAAGTGTCGCACTTGAGCAGTTAACTAGAAGTCGAGAAATTGAACGTCGGCTTACTGTTAACTGTAAACAACACCCAAGTGATTTGAAGTCGAAGGTCAAGTCGAGTGGACAACCTCGAGGCAATTTTTATGTAGCCTATGAGTAACGTTACAGAGTATTTCGGCGCCGTTATTACGTCTCCGTGCTAAACTGTGCTGGGAGTTGAAAACCACGAACCACAGATACTGTACTGTAGTAGTACCATTGACACAATACGATTTGACTTTTAAGTCGAGCTCTTAGCTACTAATCACCACATGACGGTTTTGTGGGCGCGACGTCTCCATCGTTGAACACGGTGACTTCCTTGGCGAATTGGTTGATGCCTTTGTACACTTCGAGGCCGCGTGTCGGGATGGTCGTCACGTCCACGATAAAATCATCGCCGACAATTTCAAACGTCAGGGCAGGCTTTTGAAACTCAAGGAACGCGTAATCTTGAAACAATCCATACGAAATGGCAGCTGTTTGGGCCAACGGCTTAGGGGTGTACGCCCCCATGACGGTTTGCAATCCACGGGCGAGGACGTCGAACTTCTCGTCAAACCCATCGCCGATTGGCTGGTTAATGTCTCCGTACGGAGACAAGATAAGCCCCCCGTACGAGTGAATGTCAATAAACCCTTGGGTTTCATTGCGCTTGGTTTGGAACCAATCATTGATGCCCGCGGTTTCAGGCTCACTGAACGGCTTAAGTCCGGGGTACGTCTCGTCGAATTTGGGAGGGATTTCGGGGTTGGGAAACTTGGTCAGCCAGTTGCGGTTCAAGTCGACTTCGTTTTCATTCTTGCGCCGCAACCGGTCACCGCTCCACGTGTGAGAATAGCCGTCAATGTTGACGATCGGTACAAAGTACAAGTCGTACTCGTCGGCGGCCGTGGGTTTGTTGTTGGTAATGTCATCCAGAATCGACGCCAACGAGAACACAATCGACGACCCCGTGATCCATTCACGGGCATGCTGCAGGGCTTGAAAGTACAGCGACTGCGAGTGGCCCTTGGTCAACTTGTACCCGTAGATCGTGAGCCCAAAGTACGACTTGGAGATGATAAACTTAGTCAGCAGTGTCGGGTTTTGTGCGACCAAGGTATCGATGAACTCGTAGATTTGGTCGACAGTGCGGAAACAGTTGTGGAACGCACTGGTCGAGTACTCTCCGGCCCTGAGGGACGAGATGTAGTTGCCGTTTTGTTTGTGACACTTGTAGTTCAACTCGGCATCGTCTACTTCGACAATATCCTCCTGCAGCGTTCGAGCGCGGCCGTTGATTTCCGCGATGGTGTTGTTGGTTTGGGCGGTGGCCACCGCCGCGAAGAGTGCAATGACACTGAGGAGGGAGAGCTTCATGGCGAAACGAATAATGAGGAAAGGGATTGTAGGCTACCAAAACGCCCTCGATAGGATTCGTGAAGGTGTGATAGGAATTTGGATGGAATTCTCAGACCAATAGAGGGGTGTAATGGCTTGTTCGGCTTCATGTTCTTGCCATGTCAAGGCACATTTTATCGCGTAGTATCAGTATAGTACCTGAGTTGGCAGAATGTAACGTTAACGTTATACTACGTGTAGTAGGTGCCAACATCTTCTGTGACGTAATCATTTTGGCCACCACCCATTTCCAATTTGCTTACTCTTACTGTACTCCGGAGTTGTCAAGAGGGACGATAAAGGGGTAGCACTGGGGAGGAACGACGACGAAGAACACTTGTGTGGTCGAGGGCAAAACCAAAGATGATCATTAACGGAGCTGACCTATGATTGGGCATAAACAGTCCGGACGAGAACACCGGATAATTCCGGATGACCGGATATTATCCGTAAATGACCGAACCTCGGCGAAAAAGGCCAAAGCAAGAACGGCCAAAGTGCCCCTTCTTGACAGGAGTAAATCATAGTACCCCGGATAATAATAATCCGTACGTGGCGTGTGTTTCGTGAGCACATTTGCATGACCAATTGTGTATCAAGTGATTACAGTGGTGCCAGCTGTAGTCTTAATCGACGACTAAGCGTTCTTGGAGGTTAGCCAAGTACTGTATTTCTATTGACTGTGGGGTGAACGCAGGCAACACAGTGGCGGTTGAAAGGGGTTGGTATTAAGGTGCTCAGTTAAAGGGCAATTCAAAAGTGAACAGATGCCTTTGCTTCATCGCACCTACCAAATGAAATATCGCTACCTATGACGTCACAGACGAGTGTCAAACGGAGAGCAGCCAATCCTTGAATAGTATAGGCCTGTGTCATGCAGAACACTTAAGAGACGTCTACAGACGATGCTGGCCGCTCATTCCAATGTCGTGCGTGACCTAATGCAAGCGACACTACTAATGTCTTATTTTTTAAATCAGTATGAAACTTTGTATGGGATTCATCCGGACGAATTTACGGATAAGATTGAATTAACACTGATAACGTGGACAGATCAAACCTCAGGTCCCTTGTGAGATGCCATGACACACCCTATTGTCCTCGACATGCGAAAGGAGCAAGGAAGACTCGGCGATCGTCACCGCCAAGTGCCAAGGCCTCATGTGTAGCTGACAGGAACTGTTCCACGGATGCGAACTCGTCGTTGGCAAATATAGCCATTCAATTTAGACCAGTTAGCCGGATAGAGTACTCGTAACCGTATATTCCTTCCTTCCTTAAGATCGGCGATTTGCCGAGCTGCATTACAGTACCCAATACAATTCAAGAATTGATATCTTTGGAGAAAATAATGGCCTGCAACAACTAACACCTTCAAAACTTTATGGTGGGAATAGTACTAACTTATAGAGGGGCTCGTATGTTTTCAAACCAAGTATAACCTGTAGCATATTATTACTGCATACATATAATATTTCTCTACAAATCAATAATTCTATTTCATCGAAGCCGTAAAATACCAATACTGAATTCAAAGTTAAATTTCGGCAAATCACCGATCGCCGGTTTGAGCGCCTAACTTTGACATTTTATTTGCCCTGATTCAAACTCTTATACTCCGAAGGACTTATATTCGGACGATGAGATAATAACTAACAGTAAATCTCAAAAAGGAGAGCTCGGCACTGCAACTTTCACGTCGAGATAATTTAAACTTCGCCAGATAATTTGAACTTTGCCAGTTGACAGTTAATGGGGCTGTTTTCGCTCCCGTCGTTATCCGGACGGGAACCACTTGCGGAGGCCGAATTAAATTGCAAACTGAGGACTCTTACTACGAATTACTTTTTTCTGGTCTATTTGAAGTCTAATCAGTTCGTCCAATGAAAATGCACCAACAATGCACATCTTTCAACCGCACGACAATGGCTACAACCGCACGACGAATGGCGGCCTACTGCACATAATGGAGACTAACGGCCTTACCGATCATGAGACCATGAACCGACCTCTAATAAGGCTCATAGGTCTTTCTGCAGCGCCATGCAGGACACTTCCCCCTAAGGGAAGTGTCCGAGGGTCTTCTCGAGTTCCGCGGCCATTTTCTTTACTTCTTCTTGGTCTTCAAGTTGGTGAACCCATCGGCGGAAAACGATGGGGATGTCTTCATAGAGGGAGCGAACGGGCTCCCATGAGGCTTCGTCTTCATCGAGGCCAAACCAGTAGACGAGGGCTTGGTATTCGCCGTTTTCTTTGCGGACGTCGCCGAGCTTGGCCACATGGAACCATTCATTGCCAAAGGCAATATGGTCGGCTAGGTCTTCGGTCACATCGCGGCCGCCTTCGAAATACATCTTGAGTCTGCAGGTGTGGTGGAGTGACAAGTCGTAAGGCTGCACCAACTGGTGGGTCTCCATGACATAGTCAGTCACGACCCGGACGATCTTGCTTGGGCCATGCCAGTGCAGGGACAACTTGTTGCCTTGGCGGGACACTTGGCCAACGAAGACAAAGTCGCTGATCGCACACTGGACGACCTTGGACTTGGCTTGGCGGTCGCGGGTTTGGCGTCCTTTCTTGGCGCTTATCGCAGACACTTCGCGATGCAGCTCTTCCATTGCTTGAAGCAGCTCGTCCATGTGCCTCTTGCGCGTCGGGCCAGTCAATGTCGGCGACTTCCTTGTTGACGGCTTGACAAACGCATACAGGGGCGTTGTCGCAGGTAGGCCAGTAAAGCGGCTACTTCGCGCTTGTTGCAGCTACTTCACAGTGCAGCTGTTCCATCGCTTCATGCAGCTCGTCCATGTTGTACCAGGGCCAGGACGAGGTAACAGTCGGTTGCACGCAGCTTCATCTCGCTGGTAAGCGCCTTGGCGGCGCGGAGGATCAGTCGGTTGCCTACTTCAACGGTTCGTTGAAGTAGTAAAAGGACAGTAGGCGGTCGTGAAGTGGTCGTGGGCACCGGCGGCCTTGCGGATCTTGTCGATGACTTCGTTCTTGAAGTGGGAACCGCCGTCGGAGACCCAGACATGGACATATCCTAAGGACGTGAACCAGGCGAGGAGGCCGTTGGCGGTCGCCGCGGCGTCGCTTGTCTCGCTTGGCCAAAGTCGCACGAACCCGCTCATGTCGTCCCTGATGACGAGGATATTCTGCCACCCATTCGTCGCCGTGGGCATGGATAGCCAGTCGAAGTGGATCAGCGCTTGGGGCTTCTCGGCATGGAGCTCCGATCCAAGCGGGCGCGGGACCACTGAGCCGTCGACGCTGAGGCAGTGGGTGCAGGCTTGGAAAAAGGTCTTGACATCGGCTTCGAGGGTGCTCAGGGCGAAGACATCGGGGACGGCCTTGGTCGTGGCTTGGATTCGACGGTGGCCCGCGGCGCACTGGTGCGCTATGATGCAGACCCGCTGCTGGAGGTCCGTGGCACTTGGTGGGATCCAGATGCGGTCTTCCTTGTCGATGAACAGGTTCTTGTCTTCATTCCACGCCACGCTGGTTGTCGGGGTCTCTCCCCACTTCACGGCCACTTGTTGGGTCTTGACGATGCCGGTAGGGCTGGGCCAGTCGAAGTCGGGCTGTTGCAGGGGCAACACCATGGCAAGGAGGCGCCGGACAGACTTCGTTGGCACTTGGGCTTGAGCGGGGCCCCAGCGACTGAGCAGGTCGCCCCACACATTGTCTTCACCAGGCAGGCCCTCGATGGTGTAGGGGAACGAGGAAAGCACCAGGGCACAGCGCTCCAACTTGTGCGCTTGGTACCTCGCCATGCTTGGGGACTAGCCGGCAGGATTGAAAATGTACTGCAGGTTCTTGTGGTCGGTGAAAAGGCGGAAGCCAGCTGGACGGATAAGAAGGTAGTACAGCCGCTTGCAGATTTCCACAACGGCAAACGCTTCCTTCTCCACGATTGGCCAACGCTCGCTTGAGCCAGTAAAAGCACCCCTGAGAAAGGCCAACGGCTGGTGGCGCTGCTCTTTCAACTACAGGGCCAGGTCTTCAAATGGTACTTGAGTGGCGATCGCGCCTGCGTCGGTGTAAAGTCAGACCATCATGTCTGCCCGTGGGTGCGCCATGGGAACCATCGCCAAGAGAGCTTCCTTGTTCTTGTCGAAGCAGGCCAGATGGCCAATGTCCCAGCCAACAGCAGTGAGTTGGACGCGGGTGAGCTTTGTCGTCTTCGCACTTCCAATTTGCTTGGTCGCTGCGTTGAGGAGTTGGCGGAGCGCCGCCACAAGCTCGGTGTAGTAGGGGACCGCATCCAGTTGGTTGCGCACACGAACTGTTGGAGGTTGGCGGCCGTGGCGAGCGGCACAAGTGCACACAGTCCTTGGATTTTTGTGGGGGGGGGCTGGACACCTTCAGTTGAAACGACTTTGCCGCACCAGATGGCCTTGGTCAGGAAGAAGTCGCATTTCTTCGGGTTGAGCTTCAGGCCGAAAGAGGAGCAGATCGTGAGGACTTAGTCGAGGAGGTCTTCAGGGGTCTCGGCGTAGCCAAGCATATCATCGAGCCAGGCTAGGAGTCCCTTGAACAGTAGGTCGGCAAACATGAAGTCCACCGCCGACTGACAGAACGCCACCGCGTCGGTCTGGCCCATATGAGCTCTTGTGGGCGTGTACACTCCAAAGGGGGTCATGAAGGAGTAGTACATTTGGGGGTCTTCATGGAGCGCCAGCTGCCAGTAGCCCTTGAACCAGTCGAGCATGAATAACGCCCGTGCGCCCACCAAGACAGTCAGGGCGGCGTCGAGGTTCGGCATAGGCCATGGAATAGGCTCCGTGCACGCATTGATGGGCCGGCTGTCGATGGTCATGCACAAGTCGCCAGGATCTCTCTTGGGGACGATGCGCGGCGCCGAGGCCCATGTTGTTTCGGTACACCAGGCCAGCTGCTTCGAGCTCGCGCACATGTGTATTCAGGAACTCCACATGCGCTGGGGGGTATCGTCGCAGGCCACACTTGACAGGGACGGCGGC